GTGCACCCTGAGGCCACGTGAAGTGTCGAACGCCCGCTGGCAGGAGGTCACGGGGCAGACCCAGGTGCCACGGGTCGACTGACTGAGATGACTGGCTGATGCACCACTTGTTCCCCCTCCTGTGCCAACCCGCTGAGCTTTAGCCACCCGGCGCTCCGCTCATTGTTGTGAGCGTCGTTCCTCTGCCCTCCGTTGTTGTTGGAGGGCGACTACCTCCAACTGCCCAGTAGCGTCCTTCACGAGCCTCCTCCACAGAAGCCGATCTTGACACCGCTGGTACCAGTCATCGGCAAGTCCACTCAGGTCCACGTCCTCCTGTACCACGTCACTCCATCTCTTCTCTAGCCCGTGCCGCGCCCGTTTAGCCCCCAAGATCCGGCCAAACAAAAGCTGTTTCGGCATGCGGTGGCTGGGCATGCGGGCTACATGACCCAGCCAACGCAGCCTTGCCTGCCGGAAGAGCTCACCGATGGGACCTTGCCCAGATCTTTCAAGGATTTGTGGTTAAACCCAGGATGGATCGTAGGCAGGCCAGCCTAAATGTTTCTAACCGGCGAAGATGTTCCATTAAGGGGGTCCACGTTTCGCCCACTCACCCACTCACTCACCCACTCACTCACCCACTCATCCACCCACCCACTCACTCACTCACCCACCCACTCACCCACTCACTCACCCACTCACTCATTCACCCACTCACTCACCCACTCACTCACTCAGCCACCCACTCACTCACCCACCCACACACTCACCCACCCACTCATCCACACACCCACCCACTCACTCACCCACTCACCCACTCACTCACCCACTCACCCACTCACCCACCCCCTCACTCACCCACTCACTCACCCACCCACCCACTCACTCACTCACCCACCCACTAACCCCCTCACTCACCCACCCCCTCACTCACCCACCCACTCACCCACTCACCCACTCATCCACCCACCCACTCACCCACTCACCCACTCACTCACCCACCCACTCACCCACTCACTCACTCACTCACCCACCCACTCACCCACTCACCCACCCACCCACTCACTCACTCACCCACCCCCTCACTCACCCACCCACCCACTCACTCACCCACCCCCTCACTCACCCACTCACCCACTCACCCACCCACCCACTCACTCACTCACCCACCCCCTCACTCACCCACCCACTCACCCACTCACCCACTCACCCACTCACCCACTCACTCACTCACCCACCCACTCACTCACTCACCCACCCCCTCACTCACCCACCCACTCACCCACTCACCCACTCACCCACTCACTCACTCACTCACCCACCCACTCACCCACTCACCCACTCACTCACCCACTCACTCACTCACTCACCCACCCACTCACCCACTCACTCACCCACCCACTCACCCACTCACTCACTCACTCACCCACCCACTCACCCACTCACCCACTCACCCACTCACCCACTCACCCACCCCCTCACTCACCCACCCACCCACTCACTCACCCACCCCCTCACTCACTCACCCACTCACTCACCCACCCACCCACTCACCCACCCACCCACTCACCCACCCACTCACTCACCCACCCACTCACCCCCTCACTCACCCACCCCCTCACTCACCCACCCACTCACCCACCCACCCATTCACCCACCCACCCACCCACTCACCCACCCACTCACCCACCCACTCACTCACCCACCCACTCACCCCCTCACTCACCCCCTCACTCACTCACTCACCCACCCACTCACCCACTCACCCACCCCCTCACTCACCCCCTCACTCACCCACTCACCCCCTCACTCACCCACCCACTCACCCACCCACTCACCCCCTCACCCACCCACTCACTCACTCACCACCTCACTCACCCACTCACCCCCTCACTCACCCACTCACCCACCCCCTCACTCACCCACCCACTCACCCCCTCACTCACCCCCTCACTCACCCACTCACCCACCCACCCACTCACCCACCCACTCACCCCCTCACTCACCCACCCCCTCACTCACCCACACACTCACCCCCTCACTCACCCACCCCCTCACTCACCCACCCACTCACCCACCCACCCATTCACCCACCCACCCATTCACCCACCCACCCACTCACCCACCCACCCATTCACCCACCCACCCACTCACCCCCTCACTCACCCACCCCCTCAAACACCCACTCACCCACCCACTCACCCACCCACCCCCTCACTCACCCACACACTCACCCACTCACCCACCCCCTCACTCACCCACCCACCCACTCACCCCCTCACTCACTCACCCACTCACTCACCCACCCACTCACCCACCCACTCACCCCCTCACTCACTCACCCACTCACTCACCCACCCACTCACCCACCCACTCACCCACTCACTCACTCACCCACCCACTCACCCACTCACTCACCCACCCACTCACCCACTCATTCACTCACCCACCCACTCACCCACTCACCCACCCACCCACTCACTCACCCACCCCCTCACTCACCCACCCACCCACTCACTCACCCACCCCCTCACTCACTCACCCACTCATTCACCCACCCACCCACTCACCCACCCACTCACCCACCCACTCACCCATTCACCCACCCACCCACTCACCCCCTCACTCACCCACCCCCTCACTCACTCACCCACTCACCCACCCACTCATCCACTCACCCACCCACTCACCCACCCACTCACCCATTCACCCACCCACTCACCCACCCACTCACCCACCCACTCACCCACTCACCCACCCACTCACCCACTCACCCACCTACCCCCTCACTCACCCACACACTCACCCACTCACCCACCCCCTCACTCACCGACCCACCCACTCACCCCCTCACTCACTCACCCACTCACCCACTCACTCACCCACCCACTCACCCACCCACTCACCCCCTCACTCACCCACCCACTCACTCACCCACTCACTCACTCACCCACCCACTCACCCACTCACTCACTCACCCACCCACTCACTCACCCACCCACTCACCCACCCACCCACTCACTCACCCACCCCCTCACTCACTCACCCACTCACTCACCCACCCACCCACTTACCCACCCACTCACCCACCCACTCACCCCCTCACTCACCCACCCCCTCACTCACCCACCCACTCATCCACCCACCCATTCACCCACCCACCCACTCACCCAACTCACTCACTCACTCACCCACTCACCCACCCACCCACTCACCCACTCACCCACCTACCCACTCACCCCCTCACTCACCCACCCCCTCACTCACCCACCCACTCACCCACCCACCCCCTCACTCACCCACTCACTCACCCCCTCACTCACCCACTCACCCCCTCACTCACCCACCCACTCACCCACCCACCCACTCACCCCCTCACCCACCCACTCACTCACTCACCCCCTCACTCACCCACTCACCCCCTCACTCACCCACTCACCCACCCCCTCACTCACCCACCCACCCACTCACCCCCTCACTCACCCCCTCACTCACCCACTCACCCACCCACCCACCCACTCACCCACCCACTCACCCCCTCACTCACCCCCTCACTCACCCACTCACCCACCCACCCACCCACTCACCCACCCACTCACCCCCTCACTCACCTACCCCCTCACTCACCCACACACTCACCCCCTCACTCACCCACCCCCTCACTCACCCACCCACTCACCCACTCACCCATTCACCCACCCACCACACCAGGCCTTGGGTGCCAATAGCAGCGTCAACCTTCGGGAGAGTGGGGGGGGGAGTGGGGGGAGGGGAGAGTTGGGGAGGGGGAAGTGGGGGAGGGGGAAGTGGGGAGGGGGGAGTGAGGGGGAGGGGGAGGGTGGAGTGGGGGAGGGGGGAGTAGGGAGGGGGGAGTAGGGAGGGGGGAGTGGGGGGGAGGGGGCGAGTGGAGGGGGAGGGGCGAGTGGAGGGGTAGAGGGGGAGGGGGTAGTGGAGTGGGAGGGGTGAGTGAGGGGGAGGGTGGAGTGGGGGAGTGGGGAGGGGGTAGTGGAGGGGGAGGGGCGAGTGGAGGGTGAGTGAGGGGTGAGTGGGGGGGAGGGGAGAGTGGGAGGGGTGAGGGGGTAGAGGGGGAGGGGTAGTGGAGGGGGAGGGGTGAGTGGAGTGGGTAGAGAGGGAGGGGCGAGTGGAGGGGGAGGGGTGAGTGGAGGGTGAGGGGTGAGTGGGGGGGAGGGGGGAGTGGGAGGGGTGAGGGGGTAGAGGGGGAGGGGGTAGTGGAGTGGGAGGGGCGAGTGGAGGGGTAGAGGGGGAGGGGCGAGTGGAGGGGGAGGGGCGAATGGAGGGGGAGGGGTGAGTGGAGGGTGAGTGAGGGGTGAGTGGGGGGGAGGGGGGAGTGGGAGGGGAGAGGGGGTAGAGGGGGAGGGGTGAGTGAGGGGGAGGGGCGAGTGGAGGGGGTAGTGGAGTGGGAGTGGCGAGTGGAGGGGGTAGAGGGGGAGGGGTGAGTGTAGTGGGAGGGGCGAGTGGAGGGGGTAGTGGAGGGGGAGGGGGTGAGTGGAGTGGGAGGGGCGAGTGGAGGGGTGAGTGTAGTGGGAGTGGTGAGTGGGGGGTAGTGGAGGGGTGAGTGGGTGAGGGGTGAGGGGGTAGAGGGGGAGGGATGAGTGAGGGGGAGGGGTGAGGGGGTAGAGGGGGAGGGGTGAGTGTAGTGGGAGTGGTGAGTGAGGGGGTAGTGGAGTGGGAGGGGCGAGTGGAGGGGTGAGTGTAGTGGGAGGGGCGAATGGAGGGGGAGGGGTGAGTGGAGGGTGAGTGAGGGGTGAGTGGGGGGGAGGGGGGAGTGGGAGGGGTGAGGGGGTAGAGGGGGAGGGGTGAGTGAGGGGGAGGGGCGAGTGGAGGGGGTAGAGGGGGAGGGGTGAGTGTAGTGGGAGGGGCGAGTGGAGGGGGTAGTGGAGGGGGAGGGGGTGAGTGTAGTGGGAGTGGTGAGTGAGGGGGTAGTGGAGTGGGAGGGGTGAGTGGAGGGGTGAGTGTAGTGGGAGTGGTGAGTGGGGGGTAGTGGAGGGGTGAGTGGGTGAGGGGTGAGGGGGAGGATTTTCTCTAACGCGATGTTCGCACGAGGCTACGCCTCACTCCGATTGTGGTGGAAGCAGAGAGAGGGACACGGAGAGAGAGCTGCTGAGTCGTCCACCAGAGCCACCGAGTCGTCCACCAGGGCCGCTGAGTCGTCCACCCGGGCCGCCGAGTCGTCCACCAGAGCCGCCGAGTCGTCCACCCGGGCCGCTGAGTCGTCCACCAGAGCCGCCGAGTCGTCCACCAGAGCCGCCGAGTCGTCCACCCGGGCCGCCGAGTCGTCCACCAGGGCCGCCGAGTCGTCCACCCGGGCTGCTGAGTCTCTCGCTCTGCTGAGTCGACCCAGCAGCTGTACGAGGATGAACAGAATCGTGGCCAGAGTCGTCCCTCGCTACTCCGCGTGAGTCGACCTTCCAAACTGTCACCTGTTGCGACACCCCCCCACACCCCCAGGCTGATGAATAGTCGACCTTTGTTGATGAAGATTCTATCTATGTTAATGAATAGTCGACCCCTAGCTGATGAATAGTCCACCCATGACGACGAAGAGTCTATCTATGTTAATGAATAGTCCACCCCCAGGCTGATGAATAGTCGACCTTTGTTGATGAAGCGTCTATCTATGTTAATGAATAATCGACCCCTAGCTGATGAATAGTCCACCCATGATGACGAAGAGTATATCAATGTTAATGAATAGTCCACCCCTAGATGATGAATAGTCAACCCATGATGACGAAGAGTCTATCTATGTTAATGAATAGTCCGCCCCTAGCTGATGAATAGTCCACCCATGACGACGAAGAGTCTATCTATGTTAATGAATAGTCCACCCCTAGCTGATGAATAGTCCACCCATGATGATGAAGAGTCTATCTATGTTAATGAATAGTCCACCCCTAGCTGATGAATAGTCCACCCATGACGACGAAGAGTCTATCTATGTTAATGAATATTCCACCCCTAGCTGATGAATAGTCCACCCATGACGACGAAGAGTCTATCTATGTTAATGAATAGTCGACCCCTAGCTGATGAATAGTCCACCCATGACGACGAAGAGTCTATGTTAATGAATATTCCACCCCTAGCTGATGAATAGTCCACCCATGATGACGAAGAGTCTATCTATGTTAATGAATAATCCACCCCTAGCTGATGAATAGTCCACCCATGACGACGAAGAGTCTATCTATGTTAATGAATATTCCACCCCTAGCTGATGAATAGTCCACCCATGACGACGAAGAGTCTATCTATGTTAATGAATAGTCGACCCCTAGCTGATGAATAGTCCACCCATGATGACGAAGAGTCTATGTTAATGAATATTCCACCCCTAGCTGATGAATAGTCCACCCATGATGACGAAGAGTCTATCTATGTTAATGAATAATCCACCCCTAGCTGATGAATAGTCCACCCATGATGACGAAGAGTCTATCTATGTTAATGAATAGTCCACCCCTAGCTGATTAATAGTCCACCCATGATGATGAAGAGTCTATCTATGTTAATGAATAGTCGACCCCTAGCTGATGAATAGTCCACCCATGACGATGAAGAGTCTATCTATGTTAATGAATAGTCGACCCCTAGCTGATGAATAGTCCACCCATGATGATGAAGTGTCTATCTATGTTAATGAATAGTCCACCCCTAGCTGATGAATAGTCCACCCATGATGACGAAGAGTCTATCTATGTTAATGAATAGTCGACCCCTAGCTGATGAATAGTCCACCCATGATGATGAATAGTCCACCCTCAGGGCTGCATTGGCAGCGAGGAGATGGACATCGTCGGTGGTGAAGCCGCAAGTCACACAGAGAGAGGTGAGTCACTGTGTGTGTCACTGTGTGTGTCACTGTGTGTGTGTGTCACTGTGTGTGTCACTGTGTGTGTGTCACTGTGTGTGTGTCACTGTGTGTGTCACTGTGTGTGTGTGTCACTGTGTGTCACTTTGTGTGTCACTGTGTGTGTGTCACTGTGTGTGTGTGTCACTGTGTGTGTATGTCTGTTGTTTCTGTAACAACTACAGGGGCATCTCACTCCTCAGTGTGCCGGGAAAGGTCCTGGCAAGGATTATTCAGCATCGCCTTGCCAGGCACGCTGAGGAGAGGCTTGCGGAGCCCCAATGCGGTTTCAGGAAAGGGCGGTCCTGCACAGATGCCATATTTTCTGTCCGTCTGCTACAGCAGAGGTGTAGGGAATTCCAACAAGACCTACATCTCTGCTTTATTGACCTGGTCAAGGCCTATGATACCATCAGTAGGCCTGGGCTCTGAGTCGTTCTTCGTGCTTTTGGAGTACCTGACCCTCTGCTCACGATCATTAAGGACCTTCATGATGGTGAGCGGGCCCACCATCACGTAAAACTACGTGGCCAGGAGTCAGAGCCATTCCCTGTACACCTTGGGGTGCGACAGGGATGTCCTCTGGCTCCCACATTATTTAACATCTATTTTGACCACGTAGTTCGTGAAGCCTTCAATAGCTGTACCGGGGAAATCTCCATATGGTACAGATATAATGGGAGGCTGATCGATGCCCGGGTGCGGTCAAGGGATGGCTCCCTATTGCTCAACCATGTTATGTATGCCGATGATTTGTTAATTGCTGCTCATTCAGAGGAGGAGTTGGAGATGCTGCTGCTGAGACTGGAGCGTGCCACTAAGAGGTGGGGCCTTACCATCAGCCCCACCAAAACTAAGCACCTGCCTGGGTATTTTGTACCATCGGACACTCCACCTCCACAACTCCCAATCGGTGATGGGGCAGTTGTGGAGAGAGTGGAGAGTTTCCCATACCTGGGCAGTGTGCTTATGACCGACTCCAGTTTAACAGCAGAGGTCTCACTCCGAATCAGTCAAGCGGCAATATCTTTTCATCGGTTGCATAACGCTGTGTGGAAGCTACCTGGTCTGTCGCTCCGCACTAAGCTTCAGGTCTTCTCGGCCATGGTCATTCCCTCCCTTCTCTACGCTTGCGAAACGTGGACCCCCCTAATGGAGCATCTTCACCGGTTAGAAACATTCAGGCTGGCCTGCCTACGATCCATCCTGGGTTTAACCAGACTGGATTGTGTGAGGAGCTCACAAATCCTTGAAAGATCTGGGCAAGGTCCCATCGGTGAGCTCCTCCGGCGGGCAAGGCTGCGATGGCTAGTTCATGTAGCCCGCATGCCCAGCCACCGCATGCCGAAACAGCTTTTGTTCGGCCGGATTGAGGGGGCTAAGCGGGCGCGGCACGGGCTAGAGAAGAGATGGAGTGATGTGGTACAGGAGGACGTGGAGCTGAGTGGACTTGCCGATGACTGGTACCAGCGGTGTCAAGATCGGCCTCTGTGGAGGAGGCTCGTGAAGGACGCTACTGGGCAGTTGGAGGTAGTCGCCCTCCAACAACAACGGAGGGCGGAGGAGCGATGCTCAGAACAACGAGCGGAGTGCCGGGTGGCTAAAGCACAGCAGGTTGGCACAGTAGGGGGCACAGGTGGTGCATCAGCCAGTCATCTCAGTCATTCAGCCCGTGGCACCTGGGTCTGCCCCGTGACCTCCTGCCAGCGGGCGTTCGACACTTCACGTGGCCTCAGGGTGCACATAGCCTGGCACAAGCGTCGTGGTGACGTCACCGCCACTTAGTGGTGAATGGCGTTGTTGTATGTCTGTGTGTGTGCCACTGTGTGAACGTGAAGAACCAGTGGCATCTACATCTGCAGAACGTGAAGAACCAGTGGCATCTACATCTGCAGAACGTGAAGAACCAGTGGCATCTACAGAACGTGAAGAACCAGTGGCATCTACATCTGCAGAACGTGAAGAACCAGTGACATCTACATCTGCAGAAGGTGAAGAACCAGTGGCATCTACATCTGCAGAACGTGAAGAACCAGTGGCATCTACATCTGCAGAACGTCAAGAACCAGTGGCATCTAGATCTACAGAACGTGAAGAACCAGTGGCATCTACATCTACAGAACGTGAAGAACCAGTGGCATCTACAGAACGTGAAGAACCAGTGGCATCTACATCTGCAGAACGTGAAGAACCAGTGGCATCTACATCTACAAAACGTGAAGAACCAGTGACATCTACATCTGCAGAACGTGAAGAACCAGTGGCATCTACATCTGCAGAACGTTAAGAACCAGTGGCATCTACATCTTCAGAATGTGAAGAATCAGTGGCATCTACATCTGCAGAACGTGAAGAACCAGTGGCATTTACATCTGCAGAACGTGAAGAATCAGTGACATCTACACCTACAGAACGTGAAGAACCAGTGCCATCTACATCTACAGAACGTGAAGAACCAGTGGAATCTACAGAACGTGAAGAACCAGTGGCATCTACATCTGCAGAACGTTAAGAACCAGTGGCATTTACATCTGCAGAACGTGAAGAATCAGTGACATCTACACCTACAGAACGTGAAGAACCAGTGCCATCTACATCTACAGAACGTGAAGAACCAGTGACATCTACATCTGCAGAACGTGAAGAACCAGTGGCATTTACATCTGCAGAACGTGACGAACCAGTGACATCTACATCTACGGAACGTGAAGAACCAGTGCCATCTACATCTACAGAACGTGAAGAACCAGTGGAATCTACAGAACGTGAAGAACCAGTGGCATCTACATCTGCAGAACGTTAAGAACCAGTGGCATTTACATCTGCAGAACGTGAAGAATCAGTGACATCTACACCTACAGAACGTGAAGAACCAGTGCCATCTACATCTACAGAACGTGAAGAACCAGTGACATCTACATCTACAGAACGTGACGAACCAGTGACATCTACATCTACGGAACGTGAAGAACCAGTGGCATCTACATCTACAGAACGTCAAGAACCAGTGGCATCTACATCTACAGAACGTGACGAACCAGTGACATCTACATCTACGGAACGTGAAGAACCAGTGGCATCTACAGAACGTGAAGAACCAGTGACATCTATATCTGCAGAACGTGAAGAACCAGTGGCATCTACATCTGTAGAACGTGAAGAACCAGTGGCATCTACATCTGTAGAACGTGAAGAACCAGTGGCATCTACATCTGCAGAACGTGAAGAACCAGTGGCATCTACAGAACGTGAAGAACCAGTGGCATCTACATCTGCAGAACGTGAAGAACCAGCGGCATCTACATCTGCAGAACGTGAAGAACCAGTGGCATCTACATCTGTAGAACGTGAAGAACCAGTGGCATCTACATCTGCAGAACGTGAAGAACCAGCGGCATCTACATCAGCAGAACGTGAAGAACCAGTGACATCTACATCTGCAGAACGTGAAGAACCAGTGGCATCTACAGAACGTGAAGAACCAGTGGCATCTACATCTGCAGAACATGAAGAACCAGTGACATCTACATCTGCAAAACGTGAAGAACCAGTGGCATCTACATCTGCAGGACGTGAAGAACCAGTGGCATCTACATCTGCAGAACGTGAAGAACCAGTGGCAACTACATCTGCAGAACGTGAAGAACCAGTGGCATCTACATCTGCAGAACGTGAAGAACCAGTGGCATCTACATCTGCAGAACGTGAAGAACCAGTGGCATCTACATCTGTAGAACGTGAAGAACCAGTAGCATCTACAGAACGTGAAGAACCAGTGGCATCTACATCTGTAGAACGTGAATAACCAGTGGCATCTACAGAACGTGAAGAACCAGTGGCATCTACATCTGTAGAACGTGAAGAACCAGTGGCATCTACATCTGCAGAACGTGAAGAACCAGTGACATCTACATCTACAGGACATGAAGAACCAGTGGCATCTACATCTGTAGAACGTGAAGAACCAGTGGCATCTACATCTGCAGAACGTGAAGAACCAATGGCATCTACATCTACAGAACGTGAAAAACCAGTGGCATCTACATCTGCAGAACGTGAAGAACCAGTGACATCTACATCTGTAGAAAGTGAAGAATCAGTGGCATCTACAGAACGTGAAGAACCAGTGGCATCTGCAGAACGTGAAGAACCAGTGGCATCTACATCTGCAGAACGTGAAGAACCAGTGGCATCTACATCTGCAGAACGTGAAGAACCAGTGGCATCTACATCTGCGGAAAGTGAAGAACCAGTGGCATCTACATCCGCAGAACGTGAAGAACCAGTAGCATCTACATCTGCAGAACGTGAAGAACCAGTGGCATCTACATCTGCAGAACGTGAAGAACCAGTGGCATCTACAGAACGTGAAGAACCAGTGGCATCTACATCTACAGAACGTGAAGAATCAGTGGCATCTACAGAACGTGAAGAACCAGTGACATCTACAGAACGTGAAGAACCAATGGCATCTACATCTGCAGAACGTGAAGAACCAGTGGCATATGCAGAACGTGAAGAACCAGTGGCATCTACATCTACAGAACGTGAAGAACCAGTGGCATCTACATCTACAGAACGTGAAGAACCAGTGGCATCTACATCTACAGAACGTGAAGAACCAGTGGCATCTACAGAACGTGAAGAACCAGTGGCATCTACATCTGTAGAACGTGAAGAACCAGTGGCATCTACATCTACAGAACGTGAAGAACCAGTGGCATCTACAGAACGTGAAGAACTAGTGGCATCTACATCTGTAGAACGTGAAGAACCAGTGGCATCTACATCTACAGAACGTGAAAAACCAGTGGCGTCTACATCTGTAGAACGTGAAGAACCAGTGGCATCTGCAGAACGTGAAGAACCAGTGACATCTACATCTACAGAACGTGAAGAACCAGTGGCATCTACATCTACAGAACGTGAAGAACCAGTGACATCTACATCTGTAGAAAGTGAAGAATCAGTGGCATCTACAGAACGTGAAGAACCAGTGGCATCTGCAGAACGTGAAGAACCAGTGGCATCTACATCTACAGAACGTGAAGAACCAGTGGCATCACTTTGCCTCACCACGTATTCTGCTAACGGCTTGTTGATCGCCAATATTTGGTGTACTGTCACCTGTCACCCACCTCTACCCCTTCTCTCTACCCCCTGACCCAGGGCCCCCTGCCTCTGTCGGCCATGCCGGGCCCTTCGGCAGGAGGCTGGCTTCACCTCGTCCAAGTTCTGCGACGGGGAGGCCTGCCCAGGATTCACCAGATCAGTCAAGAGGACTTTGACACGTATGGACCGGTGTACAGGTGGGTGGGTGTACAGGTGGGTGGGTGTACAGGTGTGTGGGTGTGTGTGTGGGTGTACAGGTGGGTGGGTGTGTGTGTGGGTGTGTGTGTGGGTGTATAGGTGTGTGGGTGTGTGTGTGGGTGGGTGTGTGTACGGGTGTGTGGGTGTGTGTGTGGGTGTACGGGTGGGTGTGTGGGTGTGTGGGTGTGTGGGTGTGTGTGTGGGTGTATAGGTGTGTGGGTGTGTGTGTGGGTGTACAGGTGGGTGGGTGTGTGTGTGGGTGTACAGGTGGGTGGGTGTACAGGTGGGTGGGTGTACAGGTGGGTGGGTGTACAGGTGCGTGAGTGTGTGGGTGTACAGGTGTGTGTGTGTGGGTGTACAGGTGTGTGGGTGTACAGGTGTGTGGGTGTACAGGTGTGTGGGTGTACAGGTGTGTGTGTGTACAGGTGTGTGGGTGTACAGGTTTGTGGGTGTACAGGTGGGTGTACAGTTGTGTGGGTGTACAGGTGTGTGAGTGTGTGGGTGTACAGGTGGGTGGGTGTACAGGTGTACGGGTGTACAGGTGGGTGGGTGTACAGGTGGGTGGGTGTGTGGGTGTGTGGGTGTACAGGTGGGTGGGTGTACAGGTGTGTGGGTGTACAGGTGCGTGGGTGTGTGGGTGTACAGGGGTACAGGTGTGTGGGTGTACAGGTGCGTGAGTGTGTGGGTGTACAGGTGTATGGGTGTGTGTGTACAGGTGGGTGGGTGTACAGGTGGGTGGGTGTACAGGTGGGTGGGTGTGTGTGTGTACAGGTGCGTGGGTGTACAGGTGTGTGGGTGTACAGGTGTGTGGGTGTACAGGTGGGTGGGTGTACAGGTGGGTGGGTGTGTGGGTGTACAGGTGCGTGAGTGTGTGGGTGTACAGATGTGTGGGTGTGTGTGTGGGTGTACAGGTGTGTGGGTGTACAGGTGTGTGGGTGTACAGGTGTGTGGGTGTACAGGTGGGTGGGTGTACAGGTGTGTTGGTGTACAGGTGTGTGGGTGTACAGGTGGGTGGGTGTACAGATGTATGGGTGTATGGGTGTGTGGGTGTACAGGTGGGTGGGTGTACAGGTGTGTGGGTGTGTGGGTGTACAGGTGTGTGTGTGGGTGTACAGGTGTGTGGGTGTACAGGTGTGTGGGTGTGTGTGTGGGTGTGTGGGTGTACAGGTGTATAGGTGTGTGGGGTGTTTGTGTGGGTGGGTGTGTGTACAGGTGTACGGGTGTGTGGGTGTGTGTGTGGGTGTGGGTGGGTGGCTGTGTGGGTGTGTGGGTGTGTTTGGGTGGGTGTACGGGTGTACAAATGGGTGGCTGTGTGGGTGTGTGGGTGTACAGGTGGGTGGGTGTGTGGGTGTGTAGCTGAGTGTGTGGGTGTGTGGGTGTGTGGGTGTACAGGTGGGTGGGTGTGTGGGTGTGTGGCTGGGTGTGTGGGTGTGTGGGTGTACAGGTGGGTGGGTGTGTGGCTGGGTGTGTGGGTGTGTGGGTGTGTGGGTGTACAGGTGTGGCTGGGTGTGTGGCTGTGTGGGTGTACAGGTGGGTGGGTGTGTGGCTGGGTGTGTGGGTGGGTGTGTGGGTGTACAGGTGGGTGGGTGTGTGGGTGGGTGGATGTGTGGGTGGATGTGTGGGTGGATGTACAGGTGGGTGGGTGTGTGGGTGTACAGGTTGGTGGGTGTACAGGTTGGTGGGTGTGTGGATGTGTGGGTGGATGTACAGGTGTGTGGGTGTGTTGGTGTACAGGTGTGTGGGTGGGTGTGTGGGTGGGTGTACAGGTGTGTGGGTGGGTGGGTGGGTATGTGGGTGTACAGGTGGGTGGGTGTGTGGGTGGGTAGGTGTGTGTGTGTGTGAGGTTGAAAGATCTGGGCAAGGTCCCATCGGTAAGCTCCTCCGGCAGGCAAGGCTGCGTTGGCTGGGTCATGTAGCCTGCATGCCCAGCCACCGCATGCCGAAACAGCTTTTGTTCGGCCGGATTGAGGGGGCTAAGCGGGCGCGGCACGGGCTAGAGAAGAGATGGAGTGATGTGGTACAGGAGGACGTGGAGCTGAGTGGACTTGCCGATGACTGGTACCGGCGGTGTCAAGATCGGCCTCTGTGGAGGAGGCTCGTGAAGGACGCTACTGGGCAGTTGGAGGCAGTCGCCCTCCAACAACAACGGAGGGCGGAGGAGCGACGCTCACAACAACGAGCGGAGCGCCGGGTGGCTAAAGTACAGCGGATTGGCACAGTAGGGGGCACACGTGGTGCATCAGCCAGTAATCTCAGTCAGTCGACCCGTGGCACCTGGGTCTGCCCAGTGACCTCCTGCCAGCGGGCGTTCGACACTTCACGTGGCCTCAGGGTGCACATAGCCTGGCACAAGCGTCGTGGTGACATCACCGCCACTTAGTGGCGAATGGCGGTTGTTGTGTAAGTGTGTGTGTGGTAGTGTGTGTGTGGTAGTGTGTGTGTGTGTGTTAGTGTGTGTGGTAGTGTGTGTGTGGTAGTGCGTGTGTGTGTGGTACTGTGTGTGTGTGTGTTTTAGTGTGTGTGTGTACGGCAAAACAACCCCCTACCTCCTCGCGGTGCCGGACGGGCAACTCTGTCGTGGACAGCGCTGTGGGGGGAGATCCAATTTTGATTGGCTCCTCCCCTCATGGCGTCTGTGTCCACCACAGGGGCTAAACGGGGGCTCTGGACGGGTGCGAGGGGCTGGTAACCCCTCCACCTTCAATAAATTACCACGAAACCACGAGTTCAACTGAAATATGTAACTAATAAGCTTGTGCCGGAGGCCCCGGGGGGCCAGGCGTCTATGACGTCTCCTGGCCAAACCCCAATTGGCATTCGACACTTCACGTGGCCTCAGGGTGCACATAGCCTGGCACAAGCGTCGTGGTGATGTCACCGCCACTTAGTGGCGAATGGCGGTTGTTGTTGTTGTTGTGTGTGACTGCGTGTGTCTGTCTGTGTGTGGTAGTGTGTGTGTGTTAGTGTGTGTGTGTGTGGTAGTGTGTGTGTGTGTGGTAGTGTGTGTGTGTGGTAGTGTGTGTGTGGTAGCGCGTGTGTGTGTGATAGTGTGTGTTAGTGTGTGTTAGTGTGTGTGTGTGGTACTGTGTGTGTGTGTCAGTGTGTGTGTGTCAGTGTGTGTGTGTTAGTGTGTGTGTGTGGTAGTGTGTGTGTGTGTGGTAGTGTGTGTGTGTGTGGTAGTGTGTGTGTGTGTGGTAGTGTGTGTGTGTGTGTGGTAGTGTGTGTGTGTTAGTGTGTGGATGACAGAGGAGTTGTTCACGATGGTTGAGAAAAAGCGACAGGCCCACTGTCATCGGCTACAGAATCCCACGTCAGAGAATGAGGAGGCTTACCGCAGCCTTCGCTCGGAGGTTCGGAGAGCCGTGAGGCGCTGCAAGGATGGGTGGTGGTCGCGGGTTGCTGAGGAGATGGAGTCTGCCTCAGTGGCCCGTGATCACAAATCTCTATTTAACTCCATCAAAAAAGTAACCTGCAGCGCCACACCTATTACCATCATTAGGGGAAAAAACGGTGATCCAATTTCCGACCCCCAGGAACAGGTTCGCAGATTTGCTGAGCATTTCTGTGAGGTCCTGAGGGAGGGAAAATCCCTCAGCCAGGAAAACATCGTGGCACAAAGTGAGGATGACCCTGCTGAGGCTGCGGTGCCTCAAATATTGGAAAAAGTCACCCCCTGTGAGTGGCTGGCTGAGGTGCCATCTGCTGAGGAAGTATTGAGGGCGATCCGGAGTCTGAGACCAGGAAAGGCAGCGGGCAGAGATGATCTCCCAAGCGAAATGCTGAGCGAGGGTGGCGTTTGTGCACAGACTGCCCTATATGACATCATAACAACAGTCTGGACCACTGGACGGGTTCCGCAGGATTGGAAGGATGCCCTGGTGGTCCCCCTTTTTAAGAAGGGGGACCGCACAGACTGTAACAATTACAGGGGCATCTCACTCCTCAGTGTGCCGGGAAAGATCCTGGCAAGGATTATTCAGCATCGTCTTGCCAGGCACGCTGAGGAGAGGCTTGCGGAGCCCCAATGCGGTTTCAGGAAAGGGCGGTCCTGCACAGATGCCATATTTTCTGTCCGTCTGCTACAGCAGAGGTGTAGGGAATTCCAACAAGACCTACATCTCTGCTTTATTGACCTGGTCAAGGCCTATGATACCATCAATAGGCCTGGGCTCTGGGTCGTTCTTCGTGCTTTTGGAGTACCTGACCCTCTGCTCATGATCATTAAGGACCTTCATGATGGTGAGCGGGCCCGGGTAAAACTACGTGGCCGGGAGTCAGAGCCATTCCCTGTACACCTTGGGGTGCGACAAGGATGTCCTCTGGCTCCCACATTATTTAACATCTATTTTGACCACGTAGTTCGTGAAGCCTTCAATAGCTGTACCGGGGGAATCTCCATATGGTACAGATATAATTGGAGGCTAATCGATGCCCGGGTGCGGTCAAGGGATGGCTCCATATTGCTCAACCACGTTATGTATGCTGATGATTTGGTAATAGCTGCTCAGTCAGAGGAGGAGTTGGAGACGCTGCTGCTGAGACTGGAGCGTGCCACTAAGAGGTGGGGCCTTACCATCAGCCCCACCAAAACTAAGCACCTGCCTGGGTATTTTGTACCATCGGACACTCCACCCCCACAACTCCCAATCGGTGATGGGGCAGTTGTGGAGAGAGTGGAGAGTTTCCCATACCTGGGCAGTGTGCTTATGACCGGCTCCAGTTTAACAGCAGAGGTCTCACTCCGAATCAGTCGAGCGGCAATATCTTTTCATCGGTTGCGTAACGCTGTGTGGAAGCTACCTGGTCTGTCGCTCCGCACTAAGCTTCAGGTCTTCTCGGCCATGGTCATTCCCTCCCTTCTCTACGCTTGCGAAACATGGACCCCCCTAATGGAACATCTTCGCCGGTTAGAAATATTTAGGCTGGCCTGCCTACGATCCATCCTGGGTTTAACCAGACTGGATTGTGTGAGGAGCTCACAAATCCTTGAAAGATCTGGGCAGGGTCCCATCGGTGAGCTCCTCCGGCAGGCAAGGCTGCGATGGCTGGGTCATGTAGCCCGCATGCCCAGCCACCGCATGCCGAAACAGCTTTTGTTTGGCCGGATTGAGGGGGCTAATCGGGCGCGGCACGGGCTAGAGAAGAGATGGAGTGATGTGGTACAGGAGGACGTGGAGCTGAGTGGACTTGCCGATGACTGGTACCAGCGGTGTCAAGATCGGCCTCTGTGGAGGAGGCTCGTGAAGGACGCTACTGGGCAGTTGGAGGCAGTCGCCCTCCAACAACAACGGAGGGCGGAGGAGCGACGCTCACAACAGCGAGCGGAGCGCCGGGTGGCTAAAGCACAGCAGGTTGGCACAGTAGGGGGCAGAGGTGGTGCATCAGCCAGTCATCTCAGTCAGTCGACCCGTGGCACCTGGGTCTGCCCAGTGATCTCCTGCCAGCGGGCGTTCGACACTTCACGTGGCCTCAGGGTGCACATAGCCTGGCACAAGCGTCGTGGTGACGTCACCGCCACTTAGTGGCGAATGGCGGTTGTTGTTGTTGTGTGTGTGTGTTAGTGTGTGTGCGCGTGTGTGTAGCCGTGTGTGTGTGTGGTAGTGCGTGTGTGTGTGTGTGCGTGTGTGTGTGTGATAGTGTGTGTTAGTGTGTGTGTGTGTGATAGTGTGTGTTAGTGTGTGTGTGTGTGGTACTGTGTGTGTGTGGTAGTGCGTGTGTGTGTGTTAGTGTGTGTGTGTTAGTGCGTGTGTGTGTGCGTGTGTGTGTGTTAGTGCGTGTGTGTGTGTGTTAGTGCGTGTGTGTGTGTGTGTAGCAGTGTGCGCCTGCCTGCTCAGTATCAACTTGGTGCTGTTTGTTGCTGCCCGCTCGCCTGCCTGTCCCCTGCCCGCCACCACAGACAAAAGCTGGGCTCCCTGGAGTCCGTGAACGTCCTCCTCCCCAGCGACGCTGCTCATGTGTTTGGGGTGGAGGGTGCACGTCCAGAACGCCAGCTGGTGGACTCTTGGATGGAGTACCGTAAACACCGCAGACGGAGCTTGGGAGTCCTGCTGCAGTGAGTGGGGTAGGGGGGGTGAGGGAGGGACTCGCTCACTCGCTCGCTCACTCACTCGCTCGCCCGCTCACTCACTCGCTCACTCAGTCACTCACCTACTCACTCACTCACTCACACGTCCAGAACGCCAGCTGGTGGACTCTTGGATGGAGTACCGTAAACACCGCAGACGGAGCTTGGGAGTCCTGTTGCAGTGAGTGGGGGGTAGGGGGGGTGAGGGAGGGACTCGCTCACTCGCTCGCTCGCTCACTCGCTCGCTCACTCAGTCACTCACCTACTCACTCACTCACTCACACGTCCAGAACGCCAGCTGGTGGACTCTTGGATGGAGTACCGTAAACACCGCAGACGGAGCTTGGGAGTCCTGCTGCAGTGAGCGGGGGGTAGGGGGGGTGAGGGAGGGACTCGCTCACTCGCTCGCTCGCTCACTCGCTCGCTCACTCAGTCACTCACCTACTCACTCACTCACTCACACGTCCAGAACGCCAGCTGGTGGACTCTTGGATGGAGTACCGTAAACACCGCAGACGGAGCTTGGGAGTCCTGTTGCAGTGAGTGGGGTAGGGGGGGTGAGGGAGGGACTCGCTCACTCGCTCGCTCACTCACACACTCGCTCACTCAGTCACTCACCTACTCACTCACTCACTCACACGTCCAGAACGCCAGCTGGTGGACTCTTGGATGGAGTACCGTAAACACCGCAGACGGAGCTTGGGAGTCCTGCTGCAGTGAGTGGGGTAGGGGGGTGAGGGAGGGACTCGCTCACTCGCTCGCTCACTCACACACTCGCTCGCTCACTCACTTACTCACTCGCCCACTCACTCACTCGCTCGCTCACACACTCGCTCACTCGCTCACTCACTCGCTTACTCACTCACTCACTCGCTCACTCACTCGCTCACCTACTCAGTCACTCGCTCACTCATTAACTCGCTCACTCGCTCACTCACTTGCTTACTCACTCACGCACTCACTCGCTCACTCACTCACTCGCTCACTCAGTCACTCACCTACTCACTCACTCACTCACACGTCCAGAACGCCAGCTGGTGGACTCTTGGATGGAGTACCGTAAACACCGCAGACGGAGCTTGGGAGTCCTGCTGCAGTGAGTGGGGTAGGGGGGTGAGGGAGGGACTCGCTCACTCGCTCGCTCACTCACACACTCGCTCACTCAGTCACTCACCTACTCACTCACTCACTCACACGTCCAGAACGCCAGCTGGTGGACTCTTGGATGGAGTACCGTAAACACCGCAGACGGAGCTTGGGAGTCCTGTTGCAGTGAGTGGGGGGTAGGGGGGGTGAGGGAGGGACTCGCTCACTCGCTCGCTCACTCACTCACTCACTCGCTCACTCGCTCACTCACTTACTCAGTCACTCACCTACTCACTCACTCACTCACACGTCCAGAACGCCAGCTGGTGGACTCTTGGATGGAGTACCGTAAACACCGCAGACGGAGCTTGGGAGTCCTGCTGCAGTGAGCGGGGGGTAGGGGGGGTGAGGGAGGGACTCGCTCACTCGCTCGCTCACTCACTCGCTCGCTCACTCACTCGCTCACTCAGTCACTCACCTACTCACTCACTCACTCACACGTCCAGAACGCCAGCTGGTGGACTCTTGGATGGAGTACCGTAAACACCGCAGACGGAGCTTGGGAGTCCTGCTGCAGTGAGTGGGGTAGGGGGGGTGAGGGAGGGACTCGCTCACTCGCTCGCTCACTCACACACTCGCTCACTCACTCACTCGCTCAGTCACTCACCTACTCACTCACTCACTCACACGTCCAGAACGCCAGCTGGTGGACTCTTGGATGGAGTACCGTAAACACCGCAGACGGAGCTTGGGAGTCCTGCTGCAGTGAGTGGGGTAGGGGGGTGAGGGAGGGACTCGCTCACTCGCTCGCTCACTCACACACTCGCTCACTCACTCACTTACTCACTCGCCCACTCACTCACTCGCTCGCTCACACACTCGCTCACTCGCTCACTCACTCGCTTACTCACTCACTCACTCGCTCACTCACTCGCTCACCTACTCAGTCACTCGCTCACTCATTAACTCGCTCACTCGCTCACTCACTTGCTTACTCACTCACGCACTCACTCGCTCACTCACTCACTCGCTCACTCAGTCACTCACCTACTCACTCACTCACTCACACGTCCAGAACGCCAGCTGGTGGACTCTTGGATGGAGTACCGTAAACACCGCAGACGGAGCTTGGGAGTCCTGCTGCAGTGAGTGGGGTAGGGGGGTGAAGGAGGGACTCGCTCACTCGCTCGCTCACTCACTCACTCGCTCGCTCACTCGCTTACTCACTCACTCACTCACCTACTCACTCACTCACTCACACGTCCAGAACGCCAGCTGGTGGACTCTTGGATGGAGTACCGTAAACACCGCAGACGGAGCTTGGGAGTCCTGTTGCAGTGAGTGGGGGGTAGGGGGGGTGAGGGAGGGACTCGCTCACTCGCTCGTTCACTCACTCGCTCGCTCACTCACTCGCTCACTCAGTCACTCACCTACTCACTCACTCACTCACACGTCCAGAACGCCAGCTGGTGGACTCTTGGATGGAGTACCGTAAACACCGCAGACGGAGCTTGGGAGTCCTGCTGCAGTGAGTGGGGGGTAGGGGGGGTGAGGGAGGGACTCGCTCACTCGCTCGCTCACTCACTCACTCGCTCGCTCACTCGCTTACTCACTCACTCACTCGCTCGCTTACTCACCTACTCACTCACTCACTCACACGTCCAGAACGCCAGCTGGTGGACTCTTGGATGGAGTACCGTAAACACCGCAGACGGAGCTTGGGAGTCCTGCTGCAGTGAGTGGGGGGTAGGGGGGGTGAGGGAGGGACTCGCTCACTCGCTCGCTCACTCACTCGCTCACTCGCTCACTCGCTTACTCACTCACTCACCTACTCACTCACTCAGTCACTCACCTACTCACTCACCCACTCACTCGCTCAACTACTCACTCGCTCACTCACTCACTCTCTCACACACTCACTCACTCACCTACTCACTCACTCAGTCACTCACCTACTCACTCACTCACCCACTCACTCGCTCAACTACTCACTCACTCGCTCACTCACTCACTCACTCGCTCAACTACTCACTCACTCACTCGCTCACTCGCTCGCTCACTCACTCGCTCACTCACTCACCTACTCACCCACTCGCTCACTCACTCTCTTACTCACTCAGTCACTCACTCACTCGCTCGCTCACACACTCGCTCACTCGCTCACTCACTCGCTTACTCACTCACTCACTCGCTTACTCACTCACTCACACACTCGCTCAGTCACTCACTCACCTACTCACTCACTCAGTCACTCACCTACTCACTCACTCACCCACTCACTCGCTCAACTACTCACTCACTCGCTCACTCACTCACTCTCTCACACACTCACTCACTCACTCACCTACTCACTCACTCAGTCACTCACCTACTCACTCACTCACCCACTCACTCGCTCAACTACTCACTCACTCGCTCACTCACTCACTCACTCTCTCACACACTCACTCACTCACCTACTCACTCACTCAGTCACTCACCTACTCACTCACTCACCCACTCACTCGCTCAACTACTCACTTACTCGCTCAACTACTCACTCACTCACTCTCTCACACACTCACTCACCTACTCACTCACTCAGTCACTCACCTACTCACTCACTCACCCACTCACTCGCTCAACTACTCACTCACTCGCTCACTCACTCACTCACTCTCTCACACACTCACTCACTCACCTACTCACTCACTCAGTCACTCACCTACTCACTCACTCACCCACTCACTCGCTCAACTACTCACTCACTCGCTCACTCACTCACTCACTCTCTCACACACTCACTCACTCACTCACCTACTCACTCACTCAGTCACTCACCTACTCACTCACTCACCCACTCACTCGCTCAACTACTCACTCACTCGCTCACTCACTCACTCTCTCACACACTCACTCACTCACCTACTCACTCACTCAGTCACTCACCTACTCACTCACTCACGCACTCACTCGCTCAACTACTCACTCACTCGCTCACTCACTCACTCACTCTCTCACACACTCACTCACTCACTCACCTACTCACTCACTCAGTCACTCACCTACTCACTCACTCACCCACTCACTCAACTACTCACTCACTCGCTCACTCACTCACTCACCTACTCACTCACTCAGTCACTCACCTACTCACTCACTCACCCACTCACTCGCTCAACTACTCACTCACTCGCTCACTCACTCACTCACTCTCTCACACACTCACTCACTCACTCACCTACTCACTCACTCAGTCACTCACCTACTCACTCACTCACCCACTCACTCGCTCAACTACTCACTCACTCGCTCACTCACTCACTCACTCTCTCACACACTCACTCACTCACCTACTCACTCACTCAGTCACTCACCTACTCACTCACTCACTCGCTCAACTACTCACTCACTCGCTCATTCACTCGCTCACTCACTCACTTACTCACTCACTCACTCACCCACTCACTCGCTCACCTACTCACTCACTCGCTCACTCACTCACTCACTCGCTCACTCGCTCACCTACTCACTCACTCGCTCACTCACCCACTCACTCACTCACTCGCTCACCCACTCACTCGCTCACCTACTCACTCACTCGCTCACTCACTCGCTCACACACTCACCCACTCACTCATCCACCCACTCACTCTCTCACCCACTCACTCACCCACTCACTCACTCACCCACTCGCACACCTACTCACTCGCTCAACCGCTCACTCACCCACTCACTCACCCACTCGCTCACCCACTCACCCACTAACCCACTCGCTCGCTCACTCACCCACTCGCTCACTCACTCACCCACCCACTCGCTGACCCACTCGCTCATTCACCCACTCACTCACCCACTCACTCACCCACTCACCCACCCGCTCACCCACCCACTCACTCACCCACTCACCCACCCGCTCACCCACCCGCTCACTCACTCACTTACCCACTCACCCACCTACTCACCCACTCACCCACTCACTTACCCACTCACTCACTCACCCAATCGCTCACCCACTCACTCACCCACTCACCCACTCACTCACCCACTCACTCACCCAATCGATCACTCACCCGCTCACTCACCCACTCACTCACTCGCTCGCGGTGAGTGAGTGAGTGGGTGAGTGAGCGGGTGAGTGGGTGAGTGAGTGGGTGAGTGGGTGAGTGGGTGAGTGAGTGTGTGAGTGAGTGAGTGAGTGGGTGAGTGAGCGAGTGGGTGAGTGTGTAGGTGAGTGAGTAGGTGAATGAGTGGGTGAGTAGGTGAGTGAGTGAGTGAGTAGGTGAATGAGTGAGTGAGTGGGTGAGTGAGTAGGTGAGCGAGTGAGTGAGTAGGTGAATGAGTGAGTGAGTGGGTGAGCGAGTGAGTGAGTAGGTGAATGAGTGAGTGAGTAGGTGAGCGAGTGGGTGAGTGTGTAGGTGAATGAGTGAGTGTGTAGGTGAGTGGGTGAGTGTGTAGGTGAGCGAGTGGGTGAGCTAGTGGGTGAGTGAGTGGGTGAATGAGTGGGTGAGTGTGTAGGTGAGTGTGTAGGTGAGCGAGTGGGTGAGCGAGTGGGTGAATGAGTGGGTGAGTGTGTAGGTGAGTGGGTGAGTGTGTAGGTGAGTGAGTGGGTGAGTGAGTAGGTGGATAAGTGGGTGAGTGTGTAGGTGAGTGTGTAGGTGAGTGTGTAGGTGAGTGTGTAGGTGAATGAGTGAGTGTGTAGGTGAGTGTGTAGGTGAGTGGGTGAGTGTGTAGGTGAGTGAATGAGTGAGTGAGTAGGTGAATGAGTGAGTGAGTGGGTGAATGAGTGAGTGAGTGGGTGAGTGTGTGAGTGAGTGAGCGAGTGAGTGGGTGAGTGAGTAGGTGAGTGAGTGAGTAGGTGAATGAGTGAGTGAGTAGGTGAGCGAGTGGGTGAGTGTGTAGGTGAGTGAGTAGGTGAATGAGTGAGTGAGTGGGTGAATGAGTGGGTGAGTGAGTGAGTGAGTAGGTGAATGAATGAGTGGGTGAGTGAGTGTGTAGGTGAATGAGTGAGTAGGTGAGTGAGTAGGTGAATGAGTGAGTAGGTGAGTGTGTAGGTGAATGAGTGAGTGGGTGAGTAGGTGAGCGAGTGGGTGAGTGTGTAGGTGAGTGTGTAGGTGAGTGGGTGAGTGTGTAGGTGAGTGAGTGGGTGAATGAGTGAGTGTGTAGGTGAGCGAGTGGGTGAGTGTGTAGGTGAGTGGGTGAGTGTGTAGGTGAGTGAGTGAGTGGGTGAGCGAGTGAGTGGGTGAGTGAGTGGGTGGGTGAGTGAGTGAGTAGGTGAGTGGGTGAGTGAGTGGGTGAGTGAATGAGTGAGTGTGTAGGTGAGCGAGTGGGTGAGTGTGTAGGTGAGTGTGCAGGTGAATGAGTGAGTGGGTGAGTAGGTGAGCGAGTGGGTGAGTGTGTAGGTGAGTGTGTAGGTGAGTGGGTGAGTGTGTAGGTGAGTGAGTAGGTGAATGAGTGAGTGTGTAGGTGAGCGAGTGGGTGAGTGTGTAGGTGAGTGGGTGAGTGTGTAGGTGAGTGTGTAGGTGAGTGAGTGAGTGGGTGAGTGAGTGAGTGAGTGGGTGAGTGAGTGGGTGGGTGAGTGAGTGGGTGATCGAATGAGTGAGTGTGTAGGTGAGTGAGGTATCACCCCCCCCCCCGCCCCCAGGAGTGGTGACGAGTGGTGGTACCGGTGAGTGAGTGGGTGAGTGAGTAGGTGAATGAGTGAGTGAGTGTGTAGGTGAGTGAGTGGGTGAGTGTGTAGGTGAATTAGTGAGTGGGTGAGTGTGTAGGTGAGTGAGTGTGTAGGTGAGTGAGCGAGTGGGTGAGTGTGTAGGTGAATGAGTGAGTGAGTGTGTAGGTGAGTGAGTGGGTGAGTGTGTAGGTGAATTAGTGAGTGGGTGAGTGTGTAGGTGAGTGAGTGTGTAGGTGAGTGAGTGAGTGTGTAGGTGAATGAGTGAGTGTGTAGGTGAGTGTGTAGGTGAGCGAGTGGGTGAGTGAGTGGGTGAGTGAATGAGTGAGTGTGTAGGTGAGTGAGCTATCACCCACCCCCCCACCCCGCCCCCCCCAGGAGTGGTGACGAGTGGTGGTCCCGGTGAGTGAGTGGGTGAGTGAGTGTGTGAGTGAGTGGGTGGGTGAGTGTGTAGGTGAGTGAGTGTGTGAGTGAGTGGGTGGGTGAGTGTGTAGGTGAGTGAGTGTGTGAGTGAGTGGGTGGGTGAGTGTGTAGGTGAGTGAGTGTGTAGGTGAATGAGTGAGTGTGTAGGTGAGTGAGCTATCACCCCCCACCCCGCCCCCAGGAGTGGTGACGAGTGGTGGTACCGGTGAGTGAGTGGGTGAGTGTGTAGGTGAATGAGTGAGTGAGTGGGTGAGTGTGTAGGTGAGCGAGTGGGTGAGTGAATGAGTGAGTGTGTAGGTGAGCGAGTGGGTGAGTGTGTAGGTGAGTGTGTAGGTGAGTGTGTAGGTGAGTGAGTGGGTGAGTGAGTGTGTAGGTGAGTGAGTGGGTGTGTAGGTGAATGAGTGAGTGTGTAGGTGAGTGTGTAGGTGAGTGTGTAGGTGAGTGTGTAGGTGAGTGAGTGGGTGAGTGAGTGGGTGAGTGAGTGTGTAGGTGAATGAGTGAGTGAGTGTGTAGGTGAGTGAGTGTGTAGGTGAATGAGTGAGTGTGTAGGTGAGTGTGTAGGTGAGTGTGTAGGTGAGTGTGTAGGTGAGTAGGTGAGTGTGTAGGTGAGCGAGTGGGTGAGTGTGTAGGTGAGTGAGCTATCACCCCCCCGCCCCCCCCAGGAGTGGTGACGAGTGGTGGTCCCGGTGAGTGAGTGGGTGAGTGTGTAGGTGAGTGGGTGAGTGTGTAGGTGAGTGTGTAGCTGAATGAGTGAGTGAGTGGGTGAGTGTGTAGGTGAGCGAGTGGGTGAGTGTGTAGGTGAATGAGTGAGTGAGTGGGTGAGTGAGTAGGTGAGCGAGTGGGTGAGTGAATGAGTGAGTGTGTAGGTGAGCGAGTGGGTGAGTGTGTAGGTGAATGAGTGAGTGTGTAGGTGAGTGGGTGAGTGTGTAGGTGAGTGAGTGAGTGTGTAGGTGAGTGTGTAGGTGAGTGTGTAGGTGAATGAGTGAGTGTGTAGGTGAGTGAGCTATCACTCCCCACCCTCCACCCCACCCCCCAGGAGTGGTGACGAGTGGTGGTACCGGTGAGTGAGTGAGTGTGTAGGTGAGTGTGTAGGTGAATGAGTGGGTGAGTGTGTAGGTGAATGAGTGAATGAGTGGGTGAGTGTGTAGGTGAGTGTGTAGGTGAGTGTGTAGGTGAGTGAGCTATCACCCACCCCCCATCCCGCCCCCAGGAGTGGTGACGAGTGGTGGTCCCGGTGAGTGAGTGAGTGTGTAGGTGAGTGGGTGAGTTGTGTAGGTGAGTGTGTAGCTGAATGAGTGAGTGAGTGGGTGAGTGTGTAGGTGAGCGAGTGGGTGAGTGTGTAGGTGAATGAGTGAGTGAGTGGGTGAGTGAGTAGGTGAGCGAGTGGGTGAGTGAATGAGTGAGTGTGTAGGTGAGCGAGTGGGTGAGTGTGTAGGTGAATGAGTGAGTGTGTAGGTGAGTGAGTGAGTGTGTAGGTGAATGAGTGAGTGTGTAGGTGAGTGTGTAGGTGAGTGAGCTATCACCCCCCCATCCCGCCCCCAGGAGTGGTGACGAGTGGTGGTCCCGGTGAGTGAGTAGGTGAGTGTGTAGGTGAGTGTGTAGGTGAGTGTGTGGGTGAGTGAGTAGGTGAGTGTGTAGGTGAGTGAGTGTGTAGGTGAGTGTGTAGGTGAATGAGTGAGTGTGTAGGTGAGTGTGTAGGTGAGTGAGCTATCACCCCCCGCCCCCCCCAGGAGTGGTGACGAGTGGTGGTCCCGGTGAGTGTGTAGGTGAGTGTGTAGGTGAGTGTGTAGGTGAGTGAGTAGGTGAGTGTGTAGGTGAGTGTGTAGGTGAGTGAGTAGGTGAGTGTGTAGGTGAGTGTGTAGGTGAGTGTGTAGGTGAGTGAGCTACCACCCCCCATCCCGCCCCCAGGAGTGGTGACGAGTGGTGGTCCCGGTGAGTGTGTAGGTGAGTGTGTAGGTGAGTGAGTGAGTGTGTAGGTGAGCGAGTGGGTGAGTGTGTAGGTGAGTGAGCGAGTGGGTGAGTGTGGAGGTGAGTAGGTGAGTGTGTAGGTGAGTGGGTGAGTGAGTGTGTAGGTGAATGAGTGAGTGAGTGTGTAGGTGAGTGTGTAGGTGAGTGAGTGAGTGTGTAGGTGAGTGTGTAGGTGAGTGTGTAGGTGAGTGAGTGGGTGAGTGAGTGTGTAGGTGAATGAGTGAGTGAGTGTGTAGGTGAGTGAGTGTGTAGGTGAATGAGTGAGTGTGTAGGTGAGTGTGTAGGTGAGTGTGTAGGTGAGTGTGTAGGTGAGTGTGTAGGTGAGTGTGTAGGTGAGTGTGTAGGTGAGTGTGTAGGTGAGTGAGCTATCACCCACCCCCCACCCCGCCCCCAGGAGTGGTGACGAGTGGTGGTCCCGGTGAGTGAGTGTGTAGGTGAGTGTGTAGGTGAGTGAGTGAGTGTGTAGGTGAGTGAGCTATCACCCCCCACCCCGCCCCCAGGAGTGGTGACGAGTGGTGGTCCCGGTGAGTGTGTAGGTGAGTGAGTGGGTGAGTGAGTGAGTGAGTAGGTGAGTGTGTAGGTGAATGAGTGAGTGTGTAGGTGAATGAGTGAGTGTGTAGGTGAGTGAGCTATCACCCACCCCCCATCTCGCCCCCAGGAGTGGTGACGAGTGGTGGTCCCGGTGAGTGTGTAGGTGAGTGTGTAGGTGAGTGAGTGAGTGAGTGTGTGGGTGAGTGAGTGAGTGTGTAGGTGAGTGTGTAGGTGAGTGTGTAGGTGAGTGGGTGAGTGTGTAGGTGAGCGAGTGAGTGAGTGTGTAGGTGAGTGTGTAGGTGAGTGAGTGAGTGTGTGGGTGAATGAGTGGGTGAGTGTGTAGGTGAATGAGTGAGTGAGTGGGTGAGTGTGTAGGTGAGTGTGTAGGTGAGTGTGTAGGTGAGTGTGTAGGTGAGTGAGCTATCACTCCCCACCCCACCCCAGGAGTGGTGACGAGTGGTGGTCCCGGTGAGTGGGTGAGTGAATGAGTGAGTGAGTGGGTGAATGAGTGAGCGAGTGGGTGAGTGAGTGAGCGAGTGGGTGAGTGTGTAGGTGAGTGAGTGAGTGTGTAGGTGAGTGTGTAGGTGAGTGAGCTATCACCCCTCCACCCCACCCCCCAGGAGTGGTGACGAGTGGTGGTCCCGGTGAGTGAATGAGTGAGTGGGTGGGTGAGTGTGTAGGTGAATGAGTGAGTGTGTAGGTGAGTGTGTAGGTGAGTGAGTGGGTGGGTGAGTGTGTAGGTGAGTGAGCTATCACTCCCCACCCCACCCCAGGAGTGGTGACGAGTGGTGGTCCCGGTGAGTGTGTAGGTGAGTGTGTAGGTGAGTGTGTAGGTGAGTGAGTGAGTGTGTAGGTGAGTGAGTGTGTAGGTGAGTGAGTGAGTGTGTAGGTGAGTGAGTGAGTGTGTAGGTGAGTGAGTGAGTGAGTGGGTGTGTAGGTGAATGAGTGAGTGAGCTATCACCACTCCCCACCCCACCCCAGGAGTGGTGACGAGTGGTGGTCCCGGTGAGTGTGTAGGTGAGTGTGTAGGTGAGTGAGTGAGTGTGTAGGTGAGTGAGTGAGTGTGTAGGTGAGCGAGTGGGTGAGTGTGTAGGTGAGTGTGTAGGTGAGTGAGCTATCACTCCCCACCCCACCCCAGGAGTGGTGACGAGTGGTGGTCCCGGTGAGTGTGTGGATGAGTGAGTGAGTGGGTGAGTGTGTAGGTGAGTGTGTAGGTGAGTGTGTAGCTGAATGAGTGAGTGTGTAGGTGAGTGTGTAGGTGAATGAGTGAGTGTGTAGGTGAGTGTGTAGGTGAGTGTGTAGGTGAGTGTGTAGGTGAGTGAGCTACCACCCTCCACCCCACCCCAGGAGTGGTGACGAGTGGTGGTCCCGGTGAGTGAGTAGGTGAGTGTGTAGGTGAGTGTGTAGGTGAGTGAGTGGGTGAGTGTGTAGGTGAATGAGTGAGTGTGTAGGTGAGTGAGTGGGTGAGTGAGTAGGTGAGTGAGTGGGTGGGTGAGTGTGTAGGTGAGTGAGTGGGTGAGTGTGTAGGTGAGTGTGTAGGTGAGTGAGTGAGTGTGTAGGTGAGTGTGTAGGTGAGTGAGTGGGTGAGTGTGTAGGTGAATGAGTGAGTGTGTAGGTGAGTGAGTGGGTGAGTGAGTAGGTGAGTGAGTGGGTGGGTGAGTGTGTAGGTGAGTGTGTGGGTGAATGAGTGAGTGAGTGTGTAGGTGAGTGAGTGAGTGTGTAGGTGAGTGGGTGAGTGTGTAGGTGAGTGTGTAGCTGAATGAGTGAGTGTGTAGGTGAGTGTGTGGGTGAGTGAGTGAGTAGGTGAGTGTGTAGGTGAGTGAGTGTGTAGGTGAGTGTGTAGGTGAGTGTGTAGGTGAGTGAGCTATCACCACCCCTCACCCCACCCCCCAGGAGTGGTGACGAGTGGTGGTCCCGGTGAGTGGGTGAGTGTGTAGGTGAGTGGGTGAGTGTGTAGGTGAGCGAGTGGGTGAGTGTGTAGGTGAGTGATTGAGTGTGTAGGTGAGTGAGTGTGTAGGTGAGCGAGTGGGTGAGTGTGTAGGTGAGTGAGCTATCACCCTCCACCCCACCCCCCACCCCACCCCCCAGGAGTGGTGACGAGTGGTGGTCCCGGTGAGTGTGTAGGTGAGTGAGTGAGTGGGTGAGTGTGTAGGTGAATGAGTGAGTGAGCTATCACCACCCCACCCCACCCCGCCCCAGGAGTGGTGACGAGTGGTGGTCCCGGTGAGTGTGTAGGTGAGTGTGTAGGTGAATGAGTGAGTGAGTGTGTAGGTGAGTGTGTAGGTGAGTGTGTAGGTGTGTAGGTGAGTGTGTAGGTGAGTGTGTAGGTGTGTAGGTGAGTGTGTAGGTGAGTGTGTAGGTGAGTGAGCTATCACTCCCCACCCCACCCCAGGAGTGGTGACGAGTGGTGGTCCCGGTGAGTGAATGAGTGTGTAGGTGAGTGTGTAGGTGAGTGGGTGAGTGTGTAGGTGAGTGTGTAGGTGAGTGAGTGAGTGTGTAGGTGAGCGAGTGGGTGAGTGTGTAGGTGAGTGAGTGAGTGGGTGAGTGTGTAGGTGAGTGTGTAGGTGAATGAGTGAGTGTGTAGGTGAATGAGTGAGTGAGTGTGTAGGTGAGTGTGTAGGTGAATGAGTGAGTGTGTAGGTGAGTGAGTGAGTGAGTGGGTGAGTGTGTAGGTGAATGAGTGAGTGAGCTATCACTCCCCACCCCACCCCAGGAGTGGTGACGAGTGGTGGTCCCGGCGATCCTCTCTGAATCGCGAGCTGCTGTCCCCGTCCGCCGTGTCGCGCCAGGCGGCGGTGCTGGCCGCTGTGAGCCGCGACTTCGTCCTGAGGCTCGGCATGCTCAGCCTCAGCGCCCGAGGCGGTGGTGGCGGTGGCACGGGCCACGTGGCCCGCCTGGACAACGAGCTGTTCAAGTTCGCTCTGGAGTGTACGTGGGGGGTTGGGGGGTGTGGTGTGGTGTGGTGGGTGGGTGTGGTGTGGTGTGGTGGGTGGGTGGGGTTCACGATGCCCGTGTGGGTGGGTGCGGTTCACCCACCCAGCCAGTCACCCATTCGCTCACCCACTCACTCACTCACCCACTCACTCGCTCGCTCACCCACTCACTCACCTACTCACTCACCCACCCAGCCAGTCACCCACTCACTCACCCACTCACTCACCCACCCAGCCAGTCACCCACTCACTCACCCACTCACTCACTCACTCACCCACTCACTCACTCACCCACTCACTCACCCACCCACTCACTCGCTCACCCACTCACTCACCCACTCACTCACCCACCCAGCCAGTCACCCACTCACTCACCCACCCAGCCAGTCACCCACTCACTCACCCACTCACTCACTCACTCACCCACTCACTCACCCACCCACTCACTCGCTCTCCTACTCACTCACCCACCCAGCCACCCACCCACCCAGCCACCCACCCACCCAGCCACTCACTCACTCACCCATCCCATGTCCCACCCAGCCACTCACCCATCCAATGTCCCACCCAGCCACTCACCCACCCACTCACGCACTCACCCACTCACCCACTCACCTACACACCCATCCCACTCACCCACCCAGCCACTCACTCACTCACTCACCCATCCAATGTCCCACCCAGCCACTCACTCACCCACTCACCCACTCACCCACTCACCTACACACCCATCCCACTCACCCACCCAGCCACTCACCCACTCACCTACACACCCAGCCACTCACCCACTCACCCACACACCCACTCACCCACACACCCACTCACCTACACACCCACCCACTCACTCACCTACACAACAACAACCGCCATTCGCCACTTAGTGGCGGTGACATCACCACGACGCTTGTGCCAGGCTATGTGCACCCTGAGGCCACGTGAAGTGTCGAACACCCGCTGGCAGGAGGTCACGGGGCAGACCCAGGTGCCACTGGTCGACTGACTGAGATGACTGGCTGATGCACCACCTGTGCCCCCTACTGTGCCAACCTGCTGTGCTTTAGCCACCCGGCGCTCCGCTCGTTGTTCTGAGCGTCGCTCCTCCGCCCTCCGTTGTTGTTGGAGGGCGACTACCTCCAACTGCCCAGTAGCAGCGTCCTTCACGAGCCTCTTCCACAGAGGCCGATCTTGACACCGCTGGTACCAGTCATCGGCAAGTCCACTCAGCTCCACGTCCTCCTGTACCACATCACTCCATCTCTTCTCTAGCCCGTACCGCGCCTGCTTAGCCCCCTCAATCCGGCCGAACAAAAGCTGTTTCGGCATGCGGAGGCTGGGCATGCGGGCTACATGACCCAGCCATCGCAGCCTTCCCCGCCGGAGGAGCTCACCGATGGGACCTTGCCCAGATCTTTCAAGGATTTGTGAGCTCCTCACACAATCCAGTCTGGGTAAACCCAGGATGGATCATAGGCAGGCTAGCCTAAATGTTTCTAACCGGTGAAGATGTTCCATTAGTGGGGTCCACGTTTTGCAAGCGTAGAGAAGGGAGGGAATGACCGTGGCCGAGAAGACCTGAAGCTTAGTGCGGAGCGACAGACCAGGTAGCTTCCACACAGCGTTACGCAACCGATGAAAATATATTGCCGCTCGACTGATTCAGAGTGAGACCTCTGCTGTTAAACTGGAGCCAGTCAAAAGCACACTGCCCAGGTATGGGAAACTCTCCACTCTCTCCACAACTGCCCCATCACCGATTGGGAGTTGTGGGGGTGGAGTGTCCGATGGTACAAAATACCCAGGCAGGTGCTTAGTTTTGGCGGGGCTGATGGTAAGGCCCCACCTCTCAGTAGCACGCTCCAGTCTCAGCAGCAGCGTCTCCAACCCCTCCTCTGAATGAGCAGCTATTACCAAATCATCAGCATACATAACGTGGTTGAGCAATAGGGACCCATCCCTTGACCACACTCGGGCATCGATCAGCCTCCCATTATATCTGTACCATATGGAGATTCCCCCGGTACAGCTATTGAAGGCTTCACGAACTACGTGGTCAAAATAGATGTTAAATAATGTGGGAGCCAGAGGACATCCCTGTCGCACCCCAAGGTGTACAGGGAATGGCTCTGACTCCCGGCCACGTAGTTTACCCGGGCCCGCTCACCATCATGAAGATCCTTAATGATCGTGAGCAGAGGGTCAGGGACTCCAAAAGCACGAAGAACAATCGAGAGCCCAGGCCTACTGATGGTATCATAGGCCTTGACCAGGTCAATAAAGCAGAGATGTAGGTCTTGTTGAAATTCCCTACACCTCTGCTGTAGCAGACGGACAGAAAATATGGCATCTGTGCAGGACCGCCCTTTCCTGAAACCGCATTGGGGCTCCGCAAGCCTCTCCTCAGCGTGCCTGGCAAGGCGATGCTGAATAATCCTTGCCAGGACCTTTCCCGGCACACTGAGGAGTGAGATTCCCCTGTATTTGTTACAGTCTGTGCGGTCCCCCTTCTTAAAAAGGGGGACCACCAGGGCATCCTTCCAATCCTGCGGAACCCATCCAGTGGTCCAGACCTTTGTTATGATGTCATATAGGGCAGTCTGTGCACAAACGCCACCCTCCCTCAGCATTTCGCTTGGGAGATCATCTCTGCCCGCTGCCTTTCCTGGTCTCAGACTCCGGATTGCCTTCAGTACTTCCTCAACAAATGGCACCTCAGCCAGCCACTCACAGGGGGTGACTTCTTCCAATATTTGAGGCACCGCAGCCTCAGCAGGGTCATCCCCACTTTGCGCCACGATGTTTTCCTGGCTGAGGGATTTTCCCTCTCCCAGGACCTCACAGAAATGCTCAGCAAATCTGCAAACCTGTTCCTGGGGGTCGGAGATTGGATCACCGTTTTTTCCCCTAATGATGGTAATAGGTGTGGCGCTGCAGGTTACTTTTTTGATGGAGTTATGTGATCACGGGCCACTGAGGCAGACTCCATCTCCTCAGCAACCCACGACCACCACCCATCCTTGCAGCGCCTCACGGCTCTCCGAACCTCCGAGCGAAGGCTGCGGTAAGCCTCCTCATTCTCTGATGCGCGATTCTGTAGCCGATGACAGTGGGCCTGTCGCTTTTTCTCAACCATCCTGAACACCTCCTCTGTCAGCCAGGGTCTCTGGGGAGGTCTGGACCACGTACCCAAAGCAGCCATTGCAGCTGCATGAGTCACAGTCCTAAACCTCGCCCATTTACCCTCGACATCAGGAGGAGTCGGGGACGATGCCAATCCCAGCCGCAAGCAATGATGAAATTCTCGCTTGCAACTTTCATCAGATAACTGAGACCAGGCCACTTTAGGTTGGAATGGGGTCCTGGGTGTACACCCACCACCGGAGTGGAAGAATGGCAGGCACAGCTTACAGATGACTAGTCGATGGTCAGAGGGCAGATCAGCTCCACGGTAGGTCCTGGTGTCAAGGACATGGGCTCGCATCCGCTGGTCCGTCACTATGTAGTCCAGCAGATGTTCTTGCTTGGACCCGGCATGTAACCATGATGTTGTGTGGATGCGCCGATGCCGGAACAGCGTGTTGGTAATTACAAGCCCATGGGCTACACAAAAATCTAGCAGCCTCCTACCGTTGTTATTGAGCTGATCTGGCCCATGCCCTCCAATCACTCCAGACCAGGTGCCAGTATCATGACCAAATCGGGCATTGAAGTCACCCAACATGATGACTCTATCCCGAGGGGTCACTTTAGCCAGCACCTGTGACAGGAGGTCTTAGAAGGCATCTGACTCATCGGCTTTGCCTGCATCCCTCCGCAGATGTTCATCTTTGGTGGGGGCATAAGTAACCACGACCACCATTCCTCACCTCCGGTTGATGGGAAGGCGAGCCCAAAGTTGCCTGGGGCTTACAGCTTCCCACACCTCACCGCCACGCTCCCACGCCCCCTTCATTCTTTTGTTCAAAAGAATAGCCACACCCTGTTGTTTGGCAGTCTGCTGCCCCGAGTAGACAACTGTCCACCCCTCATGGTGGCAGGAGCCAGAGCCGGTCCACCGGACCTCCTGAATGCCACATAGATCCAGGCGGTACCGGTCCATCTCCCGACAGAGGAGTGGCAGCCTCTCCTCCGCTGTGAGCGTTCGAACATTCCATGTGGCCAGCCGTAGTGGCTTTTCGTTGTTTCTGGAGGAGCCCCGAGGGTAGATATTCAATCTCCTGGCTCCGCCAATTGGGGTTTGGCCAGGAGACGTCATAGACGCCTGGCCCCCCGGGGCCTCCAGCACAAGCTTATTAGTTTAGATATTTCAGTTTAACTCGTGGTTTAGTGGTAATTAATTGAAGGTGGAGGGGTTACCAGCCCCTCACACCTGTCCAGAGCCCCCTTTTAGCCCCTGTGGTGGACACATATGCCATGAGGGGAGGAGCCAATCAAAAATTGGACCTCCCCTCACAGCACTGTCCACGACAGAGTTGCCCGTCCGGCGCCGCGAGGAGGTAGGGGGTTGTTTTGCCGGACACCCACCCACTCACCCACCCAGCCACTCACCCAGCCACTCACCCACTCACCCACCCACTCACTCACCTACACACCCACCCACTCACTCATCCAGCCACTCACCCACCCAGCCACTCACTCACCCAGCCACTCACCCAGCCACTCACCTACACACCCATCCCACTCACCCACCCAGCCACTCACCCACTCACCCACCCACTCACTCACCTACACACCCATCCACTCACTCACCCAGCCACTCACCCACCCAGCCACTCACCCACCCACTCACTCACCTACACACCCACCCATTCACTCACTCACCCAGCCACTCACCCACTCACCCACCCACTCACCTATACACCCACCCACTCACCCACCCACCCACTCACCCACCCACACACCCACACGCTCACCCACCCACCCACCCACTGACCCACACCACCCCCCCACCAACTCCCCCCCCCCCCACCAATCTCCACAGCGGTGTGCAGTGCCCTGTTTGGCGAGCGCCTGGGCCTGCTGCACCCCGTGGTGCCCCCTGAATCCGAGCGCGTCATCGACGCCATCTCTGTCATGTTCCACTCCACGGTGCCGATGTTGGTGGTGCCGGCCGGCCTGCACCGGGCCCTCCACACTCCAACGTGGAGACGTCACACACACGCCTGGGACCTCATCTTCACCTACGGTGGGCGGGGTGGGTGGGTGGGTGGGGTGGGTGGGTGGGTGGGGTTCACGGTGACCGTGTGGGTGGGTGGGTGGGGTTCAGGGTGGGTGGGGTTCACGGTGACCGTGTGGGTGGTGCCGGCCGGCCTGCACCGGGCCCTCCACACTCCAACGTGGAGACGTCACACACACGCCTGGGACCTCATCTTCACCTACGGTGGGCGGGGTGGGTGGGTGGCAGTGCGGTGGGTGGGTGGGTGGGGTGGGTGGGTGGGTGGGGTTCAGGGTGGGTGGGGTTCACGGTGACCGTGTGGGTGGTGCCGGCCGGCCTGCACCGGGCCCTCCACACTCCAACGTGGAGACGTCACACACACGCCTGGGACCTCATCTTCACCTACGGTGGGCGGGGTGGGTGGGTGGGTGGGTGGGGTTCAGGGTGGGTGGGGTTCAGGGTGGGTGGGGTTCACGGTGACCGTGTGGGTGGTGCCGGCCGGCCTGCACCGGGCCCTCCACACTCCAACGTGGAGACGTCACACACACGCCTGGGACCTCATCTTCACCTACGGTGGGCGGGGTGGGCGGGGTGGGTGGGTGGGTGGGGTGGGTGGGTGGGGTGGGTGGGTGGGTGGGTGGGGTGGGTGGGTGGGGTTCAGGGTGGGTGGGGTTCACGGTGACCGTGTGGGTGGTGCCGGCCGGCCTGCACCGGGCCCTCCACACTCCAACGTGGAGACGTCACACACACGCCTGGGACCTCATCTTCACCTACGGTGGGCGGGGTGGGTGGGTGGGTGGGGTGGGGTGGGTGGGTGGGTGGGGTTCACGATGACCGTGTGGGTGGGTGGGTGGGGTGAGTGGGTGGGGTGAGTGGGTGGGGTTCACGGTGGCCGTGTGGGTGGGTGGGTGGGGTGAGTGGGTGGGGTTCACGGTGGCCGTGTGGGTGGGTGGGTGGGGTGAGTGGGTGGGGTTCACGGTGTCCGTGTGGGTGGGTGGGGTTCACGGTGACCGTGTGGGTGGGTGGGGTTCACAGTGACCGTGTGGGTGGGTGGGGTTCACGGTGTCCGTGTGGGTGGGTGGGGTTCATGGTGGCCGTGTGGGTGGGTGGGGTTCACGGTGGACGTGTGGGTGGGTGGGGTTCACGGTGGACGTGTGGGTGGGTGGGGTTCACGGTGACCGTGTGGGTGGGTGGGGTTCATGGTGGCCGTGTGGGTGGGTGGGGTTCACTGTGACCGTGTGGGTGGGTGGGGTTCATGGTGGCCGTGTGGGTGGGTGGGGTTCACGGTGACCGTGTGGGTGGGTGGGGTTCACAGTGACCGTGTGGGTGGGTGGGGTTCACGGTGACCGTGTGGGTGGGTGGGGTTCACAGTGACCGTGTGGGTGGGTGGGGTTCACGGTGACCGTGTGGGTGGGTGTGGTTCACGGTGGCCGTGTGGGTGGGTGGGGTTCACGGTGGCCGTGTGGGTGGGTAGGTGGGGTTCACGTTGTCCGTGTGGGTGGGTGGGGTTCACGGTGGCCGTGTGGGTGGGTG